TATTTGTTTGTTATGCTATATATTTCCATAATTGTTTGATAAAATAAAATCAGGAGAGGTGAGTCTGGGAGTTATTTTTTTCCCAAATTTCTAAAATATTTCATAAATAATATAATTGTTCTTTTGGCAGCTAATCGTGTGTTTTGATGTGTATGTGATACATAGAGTAGTGTTCAATTTGTATGTTTGTCTAAAATTACACACTAATTTTTCATAATAAGGAGCATTTATTTATTTGTTGACAAAAATCAACCATATATATCACACTGTTGGACCGAAAAATTGGGGAACAGAAACTAACAATAAAAGTGGAATCTGTACATTGATTATTGTAATAGCACCCTCATGTTTAACATGTTCCACATTTTTTTAAGATTATTAATTCAATCTACATATATATCCTTTGTTTTAGACTTATTGCTGCTTTTGAATTTTAATAAAACATGTATTATTTTTGTAATCTTTATTTTGTTTTTTTGGCTGAAGGACCACTTTTTTTATTAATAAAAAAATAATGATGTGTGGATTATATAAGTTATAAATTGTATTTTTTTGGCCGTCAGGTGGTGGCCTTTTAAGTTATAACTTAACGACGCCAAACATTTTCCTTAAATTAACAAATAATGTAATTCATGTCACCTGAATGGTGTAATACTACCTCCGGTCTTTAATATAAGAGCTTGTTTAGTTTTTATTTTGGTCCTAAATATAATATCCTAGCCTACTTTATTTATCATATTTATCTATTTTTTTTTAAAGGTAGTCCTTGTAATAATAGTAATTTTAACCAATATACTTGATTAGTAAGGATATTTTAGAAAAGATAGTACATATTTATTACAAATAACGAACTTAACTAGTTTTTTTAATATATTCAAATTAGTCAATTACTCCTCTAGTCCTATGTATAATTCACTTTTAACATATTTCACACAGATCAACAAAAATTTTGAACTTCATTAACTCACATTTAAAATTTAACAACTTTTCAATTCTATCCTTATTAAATATATATTATACCTTATATAAACAAAGTCAACACATAATAAATGAAAGGTAAAATTATACATCCATACAAAAAATTTCTCTCTGTATCCTATAAATAAGATCAAAAAATATCTTCTCTCTCTGCCCTATAAATAGAACTAGAGGAGTAGTTCTTATACTACCTCCAGTCCTAATTATAAGACCCAGTTGACTAATTTGAGGAAATTAAGGAAGTAAGTTAAGTTAATTATTTGTAACAAATAAGTGTTGTCATTCATAAAATATCCTTGCTAATTAAGTGTGTTGGTTAGAACTATCATTATTAGAAGGATTATCTTGGAAAAAAATGCATAAATATGAGAGACAAAATAAATTGGGGTCTTATAATTAGGACCAAACTAAAAGTCAAACGGGGTCTTATATTAAGGACCGGAGGTAGTATTAAGGATTGGAGGTAGTATTATGTTAAGATAGGATATAGATTTCTTATATAGTACAAATCCTGTCAATTCCATTTCGCAAATCTTATATATCATTTTAGCTCTTGAAAAGTCATTTTTTATTGTTGATAATAAGCTATAATTAAGACAAGTGAAGAATGAATTTTGGCTATTTGCTACTGATTAGAGCTGGGAAAATGGGCAAAATCCGTCAGGCCGGTCTGTTTAGGTTTGAAAATTATGAGGGTTAGACTTGAAATTTTTTTCTTCAAATGAAAAACAGGCTTAAAAGGGTCGGCCTTGCAGGGCCAAGGACTAGCCTATTTAGGCCATTTTATAGTTTTTTAAAATTCTTTATGTAATTATAATATTATTAATTTTTTTACATTGTTAATGATATTTTTAATCTTTAGTTATTATTATCATTTTGAAATTAAATTTTACATAATGGTCTGATTTATTTGGTTTTAGACAATCATTTTTTTAATTAAATTTTAAAAAATAGGTTAATTTGAACTTTGATAATGATTTAATTTATATTATATGTGTTGATATTTTTAAACTATATATATTTAATAAGAGAGTATTTTTATACTTATATAACTTGTAATTCTATAATTTGAATTAGAAATTTATGAGTTTCAATAATAATGCTTCTCAAACTCAAGTAAAATAATAACTAAATTGTAAAATTTAAAAGTGAAATTCCTATAAAGAAGAAAAACTAAATATTTTTGCTACAAAAGGAAAGCAATTGATTATAATAATGATGGAATTTCAAAAAATTAATAATAGTATTTGTCTATTGTAAATTTGTGCTGTTGATGAAACTTTTGGATGTTGATGGATGTTTTAGATGTTCTTATATGTTGATAGATATTAAGATATGATGATATTTTATATTTGTGACTTAATTTTATTCATATCTATGTCTTTGATTAATAATTTTATTATTTTGTTTTTATTTTTTGATAAAAAATGTAAGAAGTATGAAAAATAATATTTTTTTAAACGGGTTGAAAGCTCGCGGGTCAATTCTGAACCCATTAGCTTAAGGGCCAAGCTTCAAAAATTGGAATATTTTTAAAACATTGGATCTGCCTTATAGAGCCGAGCCGACTTATATTCCCACCTCTATTACTGATAATGCCCAAAAGTTAATAATGCCTTAAATTAAAAAAAAAAAAAACAGTTGTAATCTTCATACATCATCGATTAGATGAGATTATCCATATAATGCCTTGAATATATTTTTCTTCTAAATATTTTACACGAATAACCTTTTGTGTTGATTTTTAGAAAATTTTAAAACGTAATTTTATAAACTCTAGTTCACTAACTTTTTTTAAGAGAAAAAGAGGGGGAACGCATTAACTGTATAAGTCGGTTTATCAATTACAGAAATATCTCTGACATTTGCATTGATAATAAGATAAAGAATACTATTAATTATATACGCCAATTTTCGGTTGATTAGTACCTTGTTTATTTATAAAACCGCCAGGACAACATTTTCTACGCTCTTTGATTAAATTTAGAGCTAATCAGTATCATTATATATAAACTAAAATTTGTAGCAAATCCTTTGATTCATGATGTGTCATTAATCATGTTAGCAGATCCCCCCCAAAAAAAAAAATGCATGATGTAAAAAGTTGTGCATCTGGTAAGTGTGGATTTGCTTGTTTAGGTATAACTTTTTCAGAATTTTGTACCTTCATACGAGTTTAAGTTTAAGATCATTCAAGTCGTCATAGTCCTTTCCATCCGAACTAATCATGAATTTTTTAATATAAAAAAAATTTACATTATTTATAAATGACAAAATAGTCATATGTAATATATAATTGATAATTGATACTCCTCCGGTTTTGAATATAAAACCCACTTTATAGTATAAATTATATTATAAAATACATCTTATATTTAATAAAGGAGGAGTACTACTTTGGAATAGATTTTGGATTTCACAAAAGAAACCCTCTTCGGCTCTTTCTGTAGGTTATATTTGATGGCAGCATGAGTTCCATTCATTGTTCTAAAACATGAAAAATAGGATTTTCTCTCTCTTTCTATGAGCTCTATTGGTGCTCCTCAAACAAATATACTAAAAATTTTAACTGATGTGTAACAAAAAATTATTTTAATTCAAATAATACTTTTAGATGCTGAATTGTTGGTATATAAGATCAATGACAATGAAGCATACGTTTTTGCTACTTGCTTTTAATAGTGTCCAAAGGTCAATCAAGCTAAATATCATTTATTTTTAATAATAAAAAATTGGGTTAAAATTAATAATAAAAAATTTCATGCATTCACCAATGTATATGTATATGTGTATGTATTACCACCTATCGGAATTGCCAATATAAAGATAAATTTACGCAAGTGGCTCTGATATTCTCTATTAAATTAAATAATAAAAGAGTGATGCATGAGTTGAGGATTTATGATAAAGACCGACTAATACTAAATCAAGATAAAGGAGAATGACGAAAAAAGAAGGTGAAAATTTCTAAATTTCAAATTAGGTTTAGTAACAACATTTTATTTGGTATTGATGATACTGAATTTGCAAACAATAACAAATTTTTATTGACATTTCTTATCTGGCATTTATATATTTTTAGCTTCTGTTTTTGCTATTTTTTCTTGAGACAAAGGATCTCCTTAGTAATTGAAAAGACATTGGTAAGAATATAAAGATGAAGTGAAAATTTTGGCGTTATATTTTTTGGACAATAAAGTTCAATAAAATGCTAATTACACACAACATTATATATATATATATATATATATATATATAATATACCTTTCCATCATTGCTTATCTTTTTGTGTAGAATGAACAAATATTTGCTTCTTTCTTTATTCCGGATATGTGTAGCAAAATAACAAGAAATGGATCCATAATCAAAGAAAGACATGCACATGTATAGAATTAATTTTATAGTACTGGGAGAGCTATCCTCAAATAAGATCGACAATTTTCCAATGTGACTCTTTAGTAACATATACTAGTTTTAACAATATAAACACACACACACACACACACACACATATTAGTTACTTATATATATATATATATATATTTTTTACCTGAGTAAGGTTTTTTTAATATGCATCAATTTTCAAACTGTTACACATTTTTATTTGACTATAATGAAGTTTAAATGTAAGTGTAACGGGTCGAACCATAATTAAATATTGTGTGAATGTTTATTTGATTGTTCATCTTGCTGTTTGTTTCAGCTCACACATCAACTTTCTCAATTTTTCAATATATTTGCATTTCCCTTTGGTACGCACGCCAAGAAAACACAAATAGACACTAATTTAATTCAATGCACAGTTTGATATAGGATAGCATCTTCATATCTAGGCTTCTATCATACCAAATCTGATTTCCCATGTATTAATTAAGAAATGTTTCATGCAAAAAGTGGTTTGAGATGGTACAACCGTACAAGCCCAAACACACACAACACACACACACACACAGAGACTAATTAACAAAGCGATTACGTATTGATTAATTTCCCTCTTTTCCGCAACACTACTGAAGTCCAGCTTCAAGATATTTTGCCCGTCGAAAAAGGCATAAAACTTGTTATTCCAGAGTAATACAATCAGAGAAGCCGATATCTTTTGAACACCTTAAGAGAATAAGATTTTTTCTTTAGCAACTCAAGAGATCATATCATATATGAATCCAATAAAAGAATGTGAAAATTGCAAGCACTAAGCACTTATTTGCTTCTCATGCACCTAACGATAACCTCTACAAACCTCTTGTACATATGCTGCTTCAGGTACATCCTTTGCACCTTCTTTCTTCCCTCCAATCCCATTTGTTCCCTCGCTGACCGGTTTTCAAGTAAAAACCGTAGATTTTGCGCCAGGACAGCATTCCCTGGACGTCCAGTAGGATGAACAAGGCCTGTAACATTGTGCTCAACAATTTCTAGTGTTCCACCAGCATCTGTTCCAAGCACCTATGACAACGGAAAAAACATGAACCTACTGTGACAAAAAAAACCATAAAATGGCCAACCACTCCACTGAATAAGTTATTCAGGTAACGCTAGGAATCCCATCCCACCAATGATCCCCAAATAATATTGCATACTGATAATTCAAGCACAAAGGAGGAAGAAAGAGCCTAATTGCTATACTGTTTTATATCCAACACAGGAGTTGTTCAGTGAAATACAGTTACTGGTTTTCAGAAACAAAGAGCATTCTTTTCAAATGTTTTTGAAGCTCTTAAAACTCTGAATGATTACACACTGCCAACCATGAAATATTTGACAAGGGAGAGTGACATATAGCGCATAAATTAAATATATGTCATCACTAAATATTCGACAAGGCAGAGTGACAGTTAATTGTATTTGAGAGTGCAACTTGTAACTCAAGCAGAAAGCAATGGTTTTAGGCAAGTGTTCTGTCCATATGCTCTAGACTCATCTTGATCATTGCGAGATTAGGAAGGAAACTTAGTTCCATGTTAAAATATGTAATAAACTTTATAGACGAAAGGTTGCTCGTAGTTACAATGTATGTTTTGAAGACTTTAGGCTCTCGTTGTCAATGATACCATATTATAAAAAGATTGTCACTCAAAAAACATAATGAAATCAGAATAATAACAGGAGCAGCTCCAACATTAAGTAATAATATTCGGAAGGAAAAGCAAGTTGGTGACCCATACCGGAAGACCAAATGCCATTGCTTCTATAGTCACCCTCCCAAATGTCTCTCCTAGTCCCTGTTCACCACTTTTGTAGTCAGAGATCAGTACATCAAGCAAAATGTCTTTTTTTGTTTCTCCTAATATAATGAATCTCTTTACAAAAGGCAAGCAACGCTTGAAGCAAAAACAAAACGGAGAAAGCTATCCAAGCCTATCCCAAGTATAATCAGCCATATTTTAATATATTTGATTCTGCATGAGTAATTGCTAAGACGTGTAATTATTTTCTTCATTTTGGTCAGGTTGTAAAAAAATGGAAAACAACACTTTTGTGTTACCTGTGCCAAACAAAGAACAAGGCAAACGTGGAAATGTGATTCACAATTCAGGAATGCATCTAGCGATTATGAAACATTGCTAAAGAACCGGGGAGCAGCAATATTGATCATTCGTCTATTGGTATTTCAGAAAGTGCTATTAATTTAAGACATATGTTCAGATATACCCATGCCAAATGTCAAAATAAAATTATTTTAAAGTAAAATTAATCTCTGCAATATCATCGCATTGAGCCATTTGTCTTGTGTAAAATTAAAATATAAATTCAGAGGCACTCTCTCGACACCGCTGTAGCAAATGCAATATTCAATACAAGAGTACTTAGTTCAATACATGCGTGCATAGGCATTGTTGTCCCCTGCTAATACTTGAAGAATGTGACCATGTATTACCTGAGAATTTATGACATAAGCATCTGCAGCAGAATAAAGTGAGGCAACCCGTGTTGTTGCTGGAGTCCACAAAACGGACTTTGACAAGTTCGAATGCTGAGATAAGAAAGTCAGAAGACCTTTAACATAATCCACTTTATTACTTTTACTTCCAACAGAACCAATAAGAATTCTGAGGGATTGCTCCAAGGATTTTCCACTGTTTGACAACACCTTCCTTTTGACAATGTCAAAATTTACAATGTCAGTACCATGACTAAACATGAGATAATGCATAATCATAAATCATAATACAATATTCATGGGTCATGTAACCTGTTCAAAGGTATGCTTCGGATATCATGCAAAGATCTGTTGTCAGTATTCAACAGTTGCATCAAGCTTCTAATATGATGCCTTCTGGCCAGGGTAGATAGGCCTTCTCCCATATCTGATGATTTCTTCATGGTCTTACTATCTTGCAACTGTCCATGTTCTACTATTGTGCTTGCTGATTCAAGAAGCAATAACTGACCCTTACTTGGGTTTATGCTACTCAAAGTCATCACAAGCATATCATTATCAGTCAAGCCCATTTCCTTTCGGACTGCATCTCTTAACAATTGTCTTTTCTCTAACATTTTCTCAGCACTAAATGATGGAGTATTAAGTGTAGAAGGGATGCCAGCCACAAAAGCCAATTCGTCATTCACGGACAATGGAACCAGTGCAGGCTGATACCTCAGTTTAATGTTTTCTTCCTCACACCATTTTTGCCATTGCTTAGATTGCAACTCAGAAAGGAAGACTAGCAGTTTTACTCTGTCCAGGACAGCCTTTGAACGATCAAAGTACTCTCGTCGGTTTTCCATAATCCACCAAGCAACTTGACTTGCACCAGCAGGAAAACGTTCAATATATTGCTCTGTAAACAAAGAAGAGGGCAATGGTTTCCCATAAGTCTTGCGGAAGAAAACAATTAAAAGTAAAGGAGATCTATAAAATATGAGGTGATGTGCATATATCAAGGGTACCTAAGTAACTTAGCTTGATAGTGGAACAACCTTACTTTAAGGAAGCAATAAGCATGCCCCAACGCTTACACTTCCTCTGCTGTCAACTTTCAATGTTAAGAATGATTGGAATCAGGTCCTAATGTCTATGTTAATTATTGATCGTCTCAGACCATCAATGCTAACTATTGAGACATTTTTTTGAGATGGACACACGACAAAGTACATATTGAATTCCTAGTATTTCTGCGAAATATCCGCAAGGGTACATTTGAATATTCTATCATCTTCTTACCGATCCATGAAGCACAAACAGCTGATCCAGCAATGACTAGATCAGACTTCATTGCAGTTTTGAAGCTGTAATCTGCTCTGTCCTCAAGCACCTTAATTCGTCTCCTAGATAGCTCTGGCAACAAGCCACCCTTTCTGCTAAGTACAACAGCAGAGACAGTAGCCCCGCAGCTCAAAAGCTCTGTCGCTAACTCCATCATAGAAAGTGGAGCTCCAGTCATAGAAAGCTCATGGAATATTAAGACAAATCTCCTGGACCAAACAAGACGCGCGAAGTCCCCCTTCCTGTTACAGGTACCAGAACGCTTCTCAGGAGTCCATTCCAGGATTTTATCCTCTGTCAAGCCAAATGGACCAACAAGCATTCCATAGGTAGTATTCTTTTTAGGAATTTCTGACTCTTGCTCCTCTATGTTGCTGTTCTCAAATTCCACTATAGGTTTCACCTTACGACGTGCTCTACCTCTGGATCGTGATCGTCTGCTCTTCTTCTTGGAGCTTGTTTTGCGGGGCGATGGAACATCGTCTTCTTTCTGGGCCAAAGCCACGGTCATTTTTTTCCCATCCCACACCTCATGTTTAACCGTGTAATTATTAAGGGATAAGGAATTATCACGAGCAACCAAATCATGACGCCTACTCTGTTCAACATTCGAGTTTGCGTCACTTAACCTGCCTCCAATTCCAAAGCCCGAAAATTCGTCCTTCTTATCACTATGTGCCCACCTGGACTGAACAAGAAATCCAAGATAAGCCCAGAGGGTAATGAGAAGCAACCAGAACAGTAATCGATTGCCGCGAAACCTCTGAGAACTAGCAAAACTACTTCTGCCTTCTCTTCTTGGTGTTCTGCCAGAATTTAGTCGCCGAAATGACGGAGAGGTTCGTGGGGTCGACCTTCCAGACAAAGTGGATTTAAAACTGCCACCTGGCCTCACTGTAGGAGAATTTCGATCGTTGCCTTCCTCCATTAGTTTCCGGAACACTATCGCATCATTAAAGAAGGTTGACTTCACTAGTAAATGTATCCGATTGTGGAGATTTCCTCAAACGTCATCTGAGACTCTCCTGGAATTCTTCAGGCTATGCTGCCCAGTGACTGCTGTTCGGAAAAAGAAGAATAAGATCAGACAGTTCTCCGAGTTCATCAAAAGATAGAACAAGCTGAACAGGAAAAAATGCTTCAGTTTTTATTTGAATTGAGAATGGCACAAGAGTTGAAGTGCATTCTTGCAATTTATATTAAGCTCCAAGAAAAACCCAAAATAGCATGTAAACCAGTACGATTCAAGCTTCCGTCTCTTTTACGACCTTGATTCCGTCGGCAGTTGAAACTGTCTAGAAATGGCCAAGAAGTGCCCTCCAAGGTTGCTTCTTTTCCACAACCGCATAAAAGAATACATTACATTACCATCAAGTATTGGAGATAAATTGAAGGAGAAAAAGAGAAACCGATCTGCTTTCTTAATGCATTTTTCATTGAGCCACTAATTAACGGTTCAAACTCGGGTTCCCATTACACGCTAGGAAGAACTACTTCTTGAGACGCAAAAGATAAAAGAGCACGCATTACATGGATCCAGTTTAACACCTTCAAGCCAACTCTTCAAGATCTGTATCTTAAGTTGAACACCACCATTCTTGAATACAATTCGTGATCACCGAGCTCCGAATGCCACCTAGAGTGCATGAGCGCGACTTCTGGTAATTGCCGTGAGCTTACGTTGAAGCCTAGAAGAAGAAAAGCTTTGAAAAGTGGCCAACGCGAGAGAGAGAAAGAGACTACTCTGACCAACAGGCTCGAGAGTCGAGAGGTTTACGGGGGAGAGAGAGGGGGACGGGTCAGAGAGAAACAATCACACCTGCGAAGTTATGCAAGAATGAGAAAAAGTTGGCACCAGAACCGTTAGATTGTTTACTGGACACGTGGAATAATCCCCTTGGTAACCTTCGAAAGGGTTAGGATCAGAAGGTTGTGCTCACACCGTCGGTGGGTCTCACCAGCATATTCATACCATTCAGTTGATCTAACGGCCTTGGATGATTTGATGTGCAGCTTAGTAGGACCCACGCAAATTGGGGCGGAAACAGACAAGAAGTTTGCCTTTCTGTCATCTAACACCTGTTTGGATGAGTGATACTGATAGAGTAAAGTCTTTGAAATGAAAATACTTGCAATTGTGGGGGCCCAATCGGAAAAGTTCTTATCTATCATTGTCAACTATATGGAACAAGTAAGTACGTTTATTTTATATATTTTCACTCGAAAATGCCCAGACAAAAGCTTGGTACTGAGCATGCTATTTTATGATTTAATCATTCTTTAATGTTTATCTGTTTTTAATTTAATAAGAACAACTACTTTTGAAATTAAAACATAAAATTACCCTCTTATTATTACATGTTTTTCAGGAGTATAAGAAATACCTACTACCTGTGGAATCAATCTAGTTTAAGATTCAAGGGCAGGTAGGAAAGATTTAAAATTACCAAGAATATTTTAAAAGCTTTTGACATTTACGGAATTTGCAGAAGATTTCATTTTGTTTTACAAGGCTAGAATGTAGGAAAAATCATACGCCTCATTTCTCAAAGGAACAAAATTATGATTTGATACAACCAACAAGAGTTGAGTATAACAAAAAAAAAAACTAATTTCTCATAACGCGACGAAATGAAGTTTAAATTCTCATTGAGACAAGTGTCAATATTTAACATCTAACAGCATCTCAAATAAAATTATTTCCAACAGTGAAAAAAATTCTTGGTGCAATAGATTTTGGATTCTCAAGGAATCCATTTCCAACAAAATTCTCAAGAGATTTTATTTATTACCAAACCTACTTTTAATTCTATTCTACATTTCTACTTACTTTTATACTCTAATTCCTATCTTTCCCATTCCAGTTCCTGAGATTTCTTCCATCACACCAAGCAAGTCTGCAAGGTGATTGAGTAGTAGTCTTCTGCCTCGAGCATAGAAAACAACTCTGTTCAAGTCTATGTTCAACCCTCGAAGAATATATCCCCAAAGAAATGCTGCAACATTCTTTTTTTCCATCAAGAATAATGCAACATTCTTATTGGAGCCTAAAATACCATAATGCTAAAAAGAAACATGGAAATGGAAGCATCACAAATTCTGTTTGGATCGTGAAAGGTACTCTAAAAGCCAATCCTATTTTTAGCTTCCAATGCATTCCAAGTGCAGGCACCATGAAGCATAATTTTGGAGAAACTGTTGTCAATTTTATCAAGACTGTCCATTTCAATGATTTTACAATTCTTTATTTTCATATTTATCTGGGAGAAAGTTAAAAAAAAAAAATCACATTTATCTGGGAGAAAGCTAAAAAAGCTAATGTAGAAACGCATCTATAAATCTCTAAATTATAATTTGCAAGCGTTCTACGAATATCGAGCTGAAGAGTAAGGACTTGAACTCGTGCAGCAAGACATTTTATCATACTGTTTGCAGAGCTCTCTACCAAACTATACAAGGAAAAGAAACCAGAGGTCCATTAGGAAGTAATTATTCAGTATCAATATTAATCAATATAAAATTAATATATTGATAGAAATTATAGGAAACCTCATAATTCATAAACTCGAGAGAACAACTCATCTCAAACTCTGTACGGTACCACTCTAATTAAGGATTTAGAGTATGCTGAAATAAAATCCTTCAAGAAATTTTCAAGGGACTCGGATAGCAATACCATTACTTTCTCCTTTGATTTATAAGAGATAACTGTAACCAAGAAGTAGTGTCTCAAGTCACAACAATAAAACCAGAATGAGAATAAAAATCCCCCACTTAGTCGAAAAGGAAAATAAGGACTAGATACATTAAGGATATCTCAGAAGTCAGAATCCATATAATTTTCTCTCAGTAATACTCCATTAATAACAACCTTCAATAGAGTAGAATTCAGCAGCCGCATTATAATATCATTTTCCCCCTAGAGCTCTACTGAAAAGCCTGCATGCATATGTTTCTCACAAGCTTCACTCAGAAACCAAACTGCAAGAAAAACTTGAAACAAGACAAGAACTGTTGTAATTTTCACTGCGCCTACATGAAGTAACAATTGCGAAATCAATGAAACTTTCTCACCTCACAATTAACAAGCAACTGCCACCCGTCAAGCTGTACTAACTTCTTAACTGTGATACAGCGTGAGCAGGTGTTATATAACTGCAACACGGATGAGGAAGAAAATGACAGAGATATATTAGCATAAAAGTCAAAAGCAGACAACAAGAAAAAACTTGGGAACAATTTTGAACGCTGGCAATCAAGTTCTCTAATTAAAAAAAATGAGAAGTTATTCTTCTTCTTTTTTCGGGGTATAATTTAGCACATGATTAGGCCTCCTAAACTCCATTTACCACGATTGTCATCATGCCATAGGTATTCCAAGCAATCCCCTTCACACATGTTCTTGAAAAATCTTATATCAAAAGTAAACAACTAAAAAGTTTCACCTACATCTAGTCCACACGAATAACTGCATTTCAAAGGCTAATTTGAGTTCATTCCCCAAGATACGGACACTTCACTCAACATATTGCATGACTCGGTCCTTTCCCATAAAAATCAAGAGGTAGAGATAAGATTGAAATAAAAATAAAAAGATATTTTAAATCTCATCATTCTTCTCCAGCTCAGCCAAATGCCAATAAAATTTAGGATCTCTCTAATCGAGCAGGACTAAAAAAAAAAATTAAAATATTTTCAACAATATCAACTGTTTAAATATGAGACTGCAAGTTATGAAATTACCTAAAAAAATCTGGAAACCTATTGCCGCCCAAAGTCCTCCAGAACAAAAGCTAAAGAACAAAGGGCCTGAAGGATGCCTGCATCATGAAGTCGTATCAGAATAATGGAACTGTAGAAGAACATGAAGCCTTGGTTAGAAAGGGTTAGAAAATAACAAACCTTTTATCTGCTTATTCAAACAAGTTGCGTCACATAGAAATAGAATACTTCACTGGCCGAAATTCATCTCTGAATATCTGCATAGGAGAAATAAAGTGATTGATAACATCGTCATTAATCCTCATTACAGCAAATACAATCAGGTGCTATCATCTGCAATCCTCCCACCCCAACAACTGTTTTTCCTAGTTCTTTTGGCATAAAATTCCGATCAATTATTACCATAGAAGCTGCAGCACCATGCTCAAGTAAATGTGAAACAAAAATCAAACTATAAAAACTGTAGTATCATATAACAATTCCAACTTGCCTGCGTGGTTTATTCTGCCTTTGCCCAAACTCATCATTTACAAGCTCTGTCAACAAACAAGACCAAACATCAACATAAGGGAAGTGGCAACAGTTTATTTATTACAATTGAGTTCCAGTCCCAAAGAAGGTAGCCAAAAGTAATGCTTGTGGCACTTGAATGACATGGTTCTCCCCCTTTCAAATTAGTTTCTATGGTGGGTGGTTCCCCATGTTTTGCTCAATCTCTATCAGTTGGTATTCAAGTGGAACCGAGATCCAAAAAAAAGGAAACCACCAGCAAAGGGTGTAACCCAGTGGCTGTAGAGAGAAACGGAGGACTGCACCATAGGGGGCAGCAGGCACTGGTCCTCCCAAAGGATCCTCCAGGAAACCTCAAGGAAGGCAAAAGACAACTTAAATTATCCATAGGGACAGCTAGACTTTAAGGTTCTTTTCTGTCTTTTTATCTAAGTTACTAAGTTCATAGTCAGATGATTTGATTCTGAATTCTGTTTCTTAAACCAAAAAATGGCAAAAAGATTGAAATATCAGTTAGATCAAATCTTGTCGACCAAAATTGCCTTATACCTCACTTGAGGCTTGATAGAGGATACTGAGTGGAGAGCATCCAAATATGTGCTTTGGTGGAGTCTCATATTAAGTAGCCATAAGTTATTCTTGTGAAACATAAATGGAATTGTTCAACCCCCTTACAGATCAGGTTTCAAGGGTGGATTCCCTATGCTTGCTTAAGTCTCCATCACATCATTAAAGAAGGATCACCAATGACTTACCAGTCCTTTGAGGTGGGTTCCATTCGCTATTAGCTTTACTTGTATTATTCTCTTTGCTGCCAATTGAAGACAAAACCAAAAGTCAGGAATTGTTAACCAGCTGATGCCAGATGCAAGCTAGCATGAGAATGTAAAAGTGACAGTTTTATCTCTTAGAGATTGCTCCACGGTGAATAAAGAAAAAGATAATATAATATAGGAATCATTCTTAACATACAAGATAGCTACAATCATTGTTCATATGTAATGTTAAAATCAACGAAATGAGGAAATCAAGATATACGGACACAATTGCAAACTTGCTAAATTGCACGTTTGCAACCAAAAAATGAAATAATATTATGCGCATATGTAATGTAAACCATATCACATCTCTACCAAATCTAACTGCATGATATCTCATGCTAGGAAGAAATCCGCGTTTGAGAAACCCTATGCCAAATGCAAATGCACCACGGGGCAGCAGATTACACATTGGGGGGGGGGGGGGGAGACTGTTTCTCATATTAATAGACAGCCAGAAAACGCTTAGTAACAGGTTACTATCCTAAGGGTAGAAAGCTCTACCAACCTCGGAGTTCCCAATGAAGATGTCTGTCCCGATTGCCGAGCATGATAAGCACCATCAACAGCTAGATATGGTGGACAGTAAGTAGTGCCCAATGCTCCTGCAGCACCAGCCAACACCGGAAGCCTAAACAAGAGAATGATGGGAGATGGATTACATCACCGACTGGGATTGCTGTTAACTTCTGCTTATTTTGAAACAACTTTTTTTTAAAAAAGAAAAAAGAAAAAGGTTTCAAACAAAGCATCGTGCAAAGGAAGCAACTTCTAACAAAATCATTAATCTTTTTTAAAATAAATGTTTTTAACAGTCAAACTACTAAAACGAGGATGTTATAGAGAAGGTAGGAATAGAAAGCTAGAGGCGATTATGGATACTAATGATTTTGTGCTAGCCATATGATCGCCCTTGAAAAAACGTGTATTCTTCTCCTCCAAAAAAAGCGTCTATTCTCTGCTTCCTTCCAACAGCTAAAACCATTCAAAAGCAGCTTATTTTAACACTTTTCTGAAATAGAAACAGCTTCTTTTCCTCCATAAGCTTGACCAAAACACGGGGCAAATAGAATTTGGTGTTCCCACAAAGAGGGAGATGGGAAAGAATAAAAGAAACATGTATCACTACACAATAAAAATTCTACTAACTAGATTCAAACAAACAAAATTTTATTGAATTCAATGGTCACAACAAGTTGAAGGCATTCACTGTAGACAGCATGCACCTTGTATCAATACTTATAAAGCAAAGAAACAGAAAGAAAGACAAAAATTGCAACCAGAAAGAAGCAACAAAGGTCAAAGAAAAGAAAGAAAAAGGGAACTAGGCGCTCAACTCATCTAATGTTACATTACTACCACGAGACAGAATAAAATTTTTTTTCTAAATCTGTACCATGTCATTTCATTGTTTCCCAAGCCAAGTTGAGGCTGAGCAACATATCCCGGGAATGCCATGCCAACAGCAGGAACTCCAAGACCACCAGAATGTTGTGCCCCAAATTGCATAACTGTCCAACCAGACCCAACAAATTAGGAAAAATTAAGGGAATCATTCCATACATTCTGAAAGGGCTACAAAAGATTAAAAGCAAAAAATGGAGGAGGCAACGTATTACATAAATTGCATTAGGAAGGTAGATTTTTATGCTAAAATAGAATTTTAATCCAAGTTATTCACAGTTTCTAAGCGTCCACCTGTTGTCACTCTCTTAAATAAAAAAATTAGTTGACTGATTGACTATTCACTCACATGACAGTGATAGCAAGTATATTAGAATCCAAAACATCCAAATTGACTAGAATGCTCATACTTAACAAAGGCAGCTGAAATTAACCTGGCAAGAAGGCTGGGGTAGCTGGGAAATTCTGATCTCCAGGACTAGCACTCATATTTCCAGAAGCCCCCATAACTTGTGCCCCACCATAAACAAAAGAACCTCTTCCACTACTCTGAGCACCTCCCTTTCCCTTCCCAACTATTGCACCTTTAAATTTACCAGATTCTGAAGTAGCATCCATGTCTCCAGAATCAGAAGAACTAACAGCCACAGATGTTTTGGGGGGAGAGGAAGCTTGAGAACCATTACCAGGTCGGTGGTTCAATGGTGGAGTAGGAGCCTGCTGAGAAGACTGAGTTCGGCCTGCTGTAGAATTTCGATGAGTAGCCTGTGTTGGAGAAACTTTGGGTACTTGATTAAGGGAGGGCACAGGTTGATAATTCATAGATACTGGAATTGATACACCCCTTCCAGGAGCCCTTGGTTGAGAAGACTGAGAAGAATTAACCCCAGAAGATGGTATGTGCATATTGTTAAGAGGCTTTCCAGCAGCCGAACTGATGGATTCATCAATATACAGCTTATCCATACTGATGGGATCAGCAATGTTCTTTCCCCTCAGCATTGCACTGTTGGGTTGAACTGAAAAGCCCTCATCCCTAACACCAGGACGAACATTCCTGCTTGTGCTCCCAGCTTGTACATCCCTTTTGGGTGTCACATTACCCTCCTTGATAGAAGAACCTGACGGGTAAAAAGGGGGAGATGCAGAATTCAAGTTTGAAGCAAACGCTTGTTTCCTGAGTGACACAGAATCAGATTCCACAGTGGGAGCAGGCGTCATAGTTCTCCCAGAACTAAGTTGCGAATTTTTCTCAAGAGACCTCTCAGATCTTAAGAAAAATGAATAAAAATCAGGTAGCTAAAACATATATAGATAGATCGCTAGATAACATACATCCAAGCCACAGAAATTCAAATAAAGCAGTGTGTACTTACTGTTTATTTTGTGTTTGAGAAGCTGGACCATTGTTCTTATTAATGGGTTCATACCTTCGGGAACCTCTACCTCGCACAGCCCGCTTAGGTAACTGACTTTGATTACCACTATTACTATATCCTTTCTTGTTCCCCCGAACAAATCCTCCACGAGCAACAACTCGATTTTTACCACGGCCTCGAAAATTACCCTTAGAGACTCTCCGGCCCTAAATTTTATAGAGATGAGATTTGACTTAGAAAACAGACTGATAAAGTTAAACAAGCCAATCCTTAATCATGAAGAAATTTCAAGTATTGCATGTAAACAAGATCATCACCTCTTCATAGCGCCTTTCCTGTAAGGTCATTTCCTCAAACTTATCATGCCCCCATTTCTTATCATCTTTTGACTCCCACAGCCTCCTTCCACCATGTATCCTCCTGAAAATAGAGGAAGCATGGGGTTCAATAAAGAACAGAGTTTAACATAACTTACCAGAAAATGAAGGAAATTCATATCTAGATAGCTAGACACACACCCTCGTGTATGCAGCATAAATAAAAGTCATCAAACTGTCACAAGAACTTTAAAAAAAATTACTCAAAGTAAACCAACAATATAGAAATGGCTATGAGACATAGGTTATATAATGATGAGAAATTCCAGAAACGTTAGAGTACATCACATATGTTCGGTTTATAATGTAATGAGGGTACCCTTGCTTAAAAGACAGAACCCTCTCTTGTGCTCAGTATCAAGAAACTAACATGAAACAAAGACCAACCTCTAGTGCACTACCAAGTAAATAAGGCTTCTAGGAGTCAATTTCATGGATTAAAAAAAATCCAGTAAAATAACCAGGCATGAGTACCGTAGATTCTCTAGCACAAGAATGTAATGCAACTGGGCAGTTCAAAGTAGAATGTTTAAATACTTGAAAGAAAATTTTTAAGAAAATCAAGAAAATTCTACAGCTCAAAATTGTCCATTATTTTAATTTGAATGACCCCATAATATTTCTCAGCTATAATAACATGTCAGAGCACTTTCAACTTACAAAACACTATTATATCGTAGTTTCCTTAAAATTCCAGAGTAAAACACCATTAATATTTTCTAATTTGATGACTAATGTATTTGTATGGAAACCAATCTTACGTACACTAATGAATAATTAAATCTTCCAACAAAAACGGCGATAGAAAAAAAGGTTCAAAACCCTAAGATAGAGATCATGCGAAAACCCAACTTCCAAATATACTTCATAACATAATGCAGTAAATGGAATACCAGGATTAATTCAAAATCATTAATTTAAAAAGCATCTCGAACCGCAAGAGCCCGTAAGCAATCTATTGAAGCTCCCTTCTCCACTAAAGAGCGTTACAGCAACCGTAATAGGACAAAGAAAGCCCAGGTTTAGTAGTAAGGTACAAGAAAATTGCACTCCCTTTCTAATGCCTCGCTTAAGCCCACATACAAGAGACAAAGTTGCAAAGTAATGAATAATACTACCCTAGACATAATCTTCGCCTGATCTAAAATGCATGAAGCAGAGTCATAATCGTTATCATTTATTCATCCAAAAAAAAACGCAAAACAAAATCGAAGAACAAATGAAGGCGACCTATCATTAACTAAACAAGGAGTAAGATCATCACATTTTAATGACAAACAATTTTCCATCTATTGCCACATCTATATTATATAGACATTGATAGTATATTTCCAGCAATCCAAAATGCAAATCATAGACCAAGCGTAAACATACCTATGGCGGCCACCAGCATTATCCCTGAAACGATCGTCATGCATGTAGAATGCTCCGGCTGTGGGCACTGCAAATGGTTCATTCTCCTTTTTCTCCTCATCATCCCTGTTCTCTGAAGGCAACTCCGCTTCCGAAGGAGCTCGGGCACCCCCATCTGATTCTTTGACCATACCTGCGGAACCCTCAACATCAGCACCATGGAATCCTCTATCTCCCTCCCTCTCCTCATACACCTCTTCTTCAACGTCGTCTCCTTCCTCAACAACTTCCTCATCATCAAGCTCTTCTAACTCTTCTTCCTCATCGCCATCCAAGTCTTCTTCGTCATCATACTCCGCCACCCCACCCTGATCATCTGAATCATCCGAATGGATTCCAACCCGACGGTCTGCCCCCTTGTCTCTCCCGTCTCCTTCACCTTCCTCGTCATCACTTGCTTCCCGCCTCCTCATTGCCAGCGATCTCTTCGCCTCCTCTGGATCACTGTCGTACTCCACATCTTCTTCGCCGGCGGTAGCCATCTATAGCTACTTACTTAGTTCTGAACAAATCCCAGGCAACAAAACCCAAAAAGCTAGACTTTATCAGACAATTTAACGGAACACTCAACCAAAAGAAACCAAATATCCTACCAATTATCACCCTCTAAGCAAAATCCAAACTTTCTAGGGCACCAAATTATTGCTCAGCAAAACCCAGGCAGCAATCTCCCTTGAAACGCCAAAATTACTCAAGAGGAAACACAATATGAGAAATCACGGTCAATCGGAACAGCAAAAGCCCTAGAAGGTCATAATTTAACACGAAGCGAAAACCCCCCAATTAAAACGCCTCAGAGAATTCAAGGTTAAACGCGAAAATTAAAACAAAAAAAAAAGTTAATTATGACAGGATTAGGATCTTAGGATTAGATAGAGCGACTTGCGTTGCCAAACCCTAAATACTTTTTGGGAGATTTTTTTGGGAATTTCAAGTGTCGTCAGCAATTAGAAGCCGGATGCCCGGATGCTAAATAGGGGTGGATGGCATTTAAATATGGGAGGAGGATCATGGGAATTATCTGATTTGATTAAGGTTATTTTCGGAAAACTGTCAACGAAGGTGAATTTGGATGCTCCTGGTTGGCCAATCTCTGACATGTCAGCCAACAAAGGATTACTTGCATACTTCTTCGATCCTCTTGAAAAGAGATAAGTAACAAATTCATCCGTTTGGGAAATAAAATTAAAAACAGTTATCATAAATAACCAATAAATATCCAGGTAAAAAAACCAATAAATAAATTAAAAATATATTTCTTCCAAAAACATTCTCTTGATTGTTTACTAAAAAATATTTTATCTTATATAATATTTTATCTTATAAATATACTCACTAATAACATAAAAACATTAATAAAATTTTAGAATAATGTTTTTCTTATAGATAAAAACAAATTTTTATAGAAGAGACGGGAGGAAATAAAAATTAATTCTTCCTTTGCTATGAATGTCAATAGTTTTGCACAGTTCTTTATCTTCCATTTACATTTTTATCATTTCACGAAAGTAACTCTCAGTGTCCTGTTATTATTGGATAATAAAGTATACTTTTAGTCTTTTAATTTTACACAATATTTTATTTTAGTCCCTTAACTCTAAAAAATAAACTTTTAGTCATTTAATTCTAAAATTGTTAACAAAAAAACACTGATGATATTGAGCTATTAAATTCTGACAAAACATTACTAAATGCTAACATATTAAATTTAATATTCAAAGTAACCACTATTGTTACAAAAAATCATTATTAAGACTAACAATTTTGAAGTTAAAAGACTAAAAATATATTTTTGAAAGTTAAGAAACATTTAATGTATAAGACTTTGCATATGTAGTAATAGAGAGCACTTCATCTGCATTGAGTAATACTACCTCTAGTCATAATTATAAGACCTAGTTAACTAATTTGAGGAGATTAAAAAAAATTTAAATTAGTTTTATTGTAATAAATAAGTGTTGACTTTTTTAAAATATTCTTGCTGATCAAGTGTATTAGCTAAAACCACCATTGTTAGAAGAACTACCTTAGAAAAAAATGTATAAATATGAGAGATAAAGTGGATTGGGATCTTATATTTAAGACCAAAATAAAAATTAAATGAAATCTTATATTAAGTATCGGAGGGAGCATAATGAGATGAAAAGGTACGTGAGTTTCCTCCACTTGAAGTGTGAGCTTTTCGTTAAACGAGTTGTTACTTATATAATATTAAAAAAAGAAGAAGAAGAAGGTAAACAACTAAACATTCACATTTTATCTTTTTTTTTTTTGACCTTTTATTTTGGTTTTAAAGTTTTATGAAGTGTTATTTTAATCCTTTAATCTTAGCATCTTTAATTTCGTTAGCAAAAAATGTTGATATCAAAATTATAAATATTGATGAAATATTTGCAAATGTTAATATATTAAGTTTACGTTTTTGAAATAACAGTGATTTGCACAAAAAATTATAGACTGAAAATGTTAGAACTACATAATTAAAATGATACTCTATAATATTAAGCCACCGAACTAAAACATTTTGCAAAATTATAGGATAAAAGTGTACTTTTATGAAGAAAAACAAGGATAATTTTATAAAGTAATAAACGATAAATTTTATAAATTAAAATATTTAATTCTTTATTTTTCAAATACTCATTATTTTTTTCCAACTAAATACTCGTTATTTTTATAGTATTAAAAACCGGACCAGTTTGTTCCGGCTGGAAACTATTGAACCGGCCGCTTATCCGGTCTGGTTGACTTCCTAAACCGATAAAAATACGAACCAGTAGAACTCGGCATAAATCGAGATAACTCAACAATAACCTAGGTAACCCACCAAGTTAGACGGGTTGCTCAAGTTAACTTTCTAACTCATCGAAAACAATGGAGGGCGTCACAAACAATGAGAGAGAAAAAAGTGAGAGGAAAAAAATGAAAGAAAGAGGCAAAAAGCAAGTGGCAAGAGAGAATGCGTTTACATTGGAAAAGAACGGCACAAGCTATGGTATTATCATAATGGATTCTGATGATAGAACTGAAGACTGAAGAGTTAGCGCTGATTGGCAAATGAAAGAGGTGACCTCCATGGCTTGATGCAAATCTTCTTTGTGTGGGAGGTTTCGCATTTAACTCCCAAGATAAAGAAATGGTGACTTAGAAGCTAAAAAAACGGTGATTTGACAATAGAATATGGGTGAAATGATGAAATGACATTGAGAAGAAAGAAAATCTGACAAAGGACAAGGAAGGGCACGTGAATAAGAGAGAAAAAACGAGCAAAATACATTTTATATACTAATAATAAAATAATTTAAAATTATAGTTTTATTAGTAAATATTTTTTTACACATTTTAATTTAATTATATTATTTTAATTATTATTGGTTAGATTCCGAGTTATTTCCGGTCTGACCCACTAACTCTTAACCCACTATCTTGACCGATTCACTAACCGGTCTAGTTTTTAGTACCCTGATTATTTTATGTAAATAGTTTTTTTGCCATTTTTTCTAAAAATATGTTACCATTCTATTACACCAATAATTCCTAGGGGAAGTGACTTTGACCAAAATTAACTCTTTTCATGAAAGCCTCCCTCCATCGTCCTCTCCTTTTTTATTCTCCTTAAAAATAACTCCATCCTACCAGACATGCCGTGACCAGGAAACTTCATATGATTCCCTATGCATGATCTTTTACACCTTTTAAGAGTTTGAAAATACATTACATGGAGATATTTCCTGGCATCACATATCTAACATGACTTAGGGGGTGTTTGGATAGAAACCAAACCATGGTTTCAGAAGTGCTTTTATGGATTATGAAGTAAATATGTGGAGGAGATTATCTCGTTTTGCAGAAAAGTGCTTCTGAAACCATGGTTTTAGGTTTCCCAAACACCTCCTTAGATGACTCGCAATAGTTTGTTCATTTTGAAGGATAAACAAACCTCACATTGAAAGCCCTAGGATGCACTCACTTCAAAGGAGTTTACCCATCTCATTCCTAAATATGCCAGTAAATTTGAATTTGAAATAACCTGAATCACCGAATAAACGAGCTGACACAACCTGAGTTGAAGCCATAATGATATCCCGGAGCACTACCAGTTTTGACATGAAATAACCCAAAATCTTCACATATTTTATTTTTATCAGAAGAACACCTATAACAAATGCTTCTACTTTCTTTCTCATGATTCTCCCTCCTGCATTTGACGAGAAAACATCTATGATATGGGAATATAGTATATCATCAAATATTCCTGCGTAATCCCAATCCAAGATTCGTCCAAAAACAAGTTCTCATATCCCTCGGACAGTAGACCCGGACCCAAATTAAAATAAAATAGTCAAATATGATAAGACTCTGCCATACAAAGGCATACGTAACTCAAAATAGTGACATTTTCCCTTCCTAAAGACGACAGACTCAAAAAAACAGATCAACAAGATCCTCTTTAATCATGCATCAGAAGCCTTGGGTGAGTTTTCTGGGGTCTTGAGAACTGTGGCTTTGTCGCCCTTATGAGCCATGACTGCGGCTTTAAATTCCTCTACTATGGACCCGTCTTTGAATTTCAAGGCGAATGTTGAGAGGCCATCCTTCCCTTCATTGGCGCTATTGATGCAGGCAAAAGTGACGCCTTTCTTCTCCATGTTGGTGAGCTTTATATCAGGGTAAAGACGCGCGTTTAAAATTAGCCTGTAATTTCCCTTCGTCCTCATAAGAAGTCTGGCCTTTTCATTCCCTCCTGTGGAAACGTTGACCTTCAGTTCACCCTTTCCTCGTTCCTTCCAACTTCCCTCAACAAACTCGAATAATACTGAATCTGCATTGAAGACCACTTTCTCATTTTCCTCGCCCGTTTCAACTACCACCTCCTGCATTGTTGTGAAACCACTTCCCTCACCTTTAGCAGTAGCAGAGGCACCTGTTGCCCCAAAAACAGAAGATCCATTGTTAGACAAACCCAGCCCAAAAGGCTTATCATTTTTCATTCCAAAAATTGAACCAGAACCACTACCCAAAGCAGACCCCTCGTTTGATAAAGAACCAAAGGAAAATGAGGAAGCAGAAAATCCAGTGCCAGCAAGACCAGTAAATGCATTTTGGCTGCTTGAAAGCTGTTGAAATGACTTCAAAGAAGATCCTTCTGAGGTGTTCTCCTTCTGATCATCATTTACCGCATCATTGCCATCCCTATCTTGTTCTTTTTCCACCTCACCAGCGGTCTCTTTATCCTCAGCATCCTTCTTATCCTCATTATCACTTTTATTAGTTTGTTCTTTTTCCACCTCACCAGCGATCTCTTTATCTTCAGCATCCTTTGTATCCTCATTAACATTTGTATTAGTTTGTTCTTTATCTGCTTCACCAGGAGTCTCCTTATCTTCAGCATCCTTCCTATCCTCATCACCGTTTTTATCATGATCCTTCGTTTGGTGTTTGTCTACCTCAGATTCTTCACCCATGCTCTTCTCTGCAGTGCTCTCTCCATCAGCAACATTTTCTTTAGCAGCATCCTTAATTTCAGCAGATTTATTTCCCAACTCATCGACTTTGCTCTCTAATTGTTCAACATCCCCGTCTTTAGCTTTCTCAGAATCCTTGATTACATCAGCAGTACATTTTGTATCATCTGCAGCAGTGTTTTCACTAGTTGATTGGGCTATGGGAGTAGCTTCTGCAGGTTTAGCACTCGACTCAGGAGGAGAAATCAAACGTATTCCAGAGAAAGGATTTGTAGATGGAGCGGAATTGCTCGGTTGGCGGCGAACTTTAACTATCCTCCTGGTTGCCATAACTTCATCACTGGCCTTCTTAAAGGTTCCAGCCTCAGGTTCTGAGGTATCTTCCTCATCATCAAGGGGAGTGTCTCGAGAGAGCTCCCTTCCCGCAGCCCTTTTCTTTGAAGGTGGAAGGGCATTGTCAGCATC